CCTTCCAACGCCCCTCTGGCACACCAAGGCAGACCAACCAAAACTAGGAGTTTACCTCTCAAAAAAACAAAAACAGTCGAGTGTGGTGGCTCATGCCTGTAATCCCAGCTCTTTGGGAGGCCACGACAAGAGGACTGCTTGGTCCCAGGAGTTTGAGATCAGCCTGGGCAACATAGTACATGCCCATCTCTACAAAAACTCAAAAAATTTGCCAGCTGTAACAGCGTGTCCCTATAGTCCCTGTTACTTGGGAGGCTAAGGCAGAAGGGTCACTTGAGCCCAGGAGGTCAAGGCTGTGGTGAGTTGTGACTATGCCACTGTACTCCAGCCTAGGCAACAGAGTGAGACCCCAACTCAAAAAATTTAAAAATCGAAAAAACAAAATTGTTTTAAAAAGAAAGGGTCTTCTACCTGTCTGGGATGAACTACAACAAAGGAATGGTGTTGGAAAGATACATAATATTGGCATTTTTTTAGGGGCCACCAGGTAAACTGATAGTTTCTCAGCAGCTGAAAAAAGTGAAGAAAATCAAGTGACAAGGACCATCCACATATCCAGCTAGTTTTCCATTATCTCATTAGTTTTTCTGTCATCTCATTTGTAAATTCTTAAATATCACCAGACTTTTGGCTAAAGATAGCAATACGAAAGAGAGAGAAAAAAGAAAGAAAAAAATGAACCAGGAGAAAGCAAATAAATTGGGAAACTAAAATAAATAAATAAACAAATAACATTCCTTAAAGATATTTTAGATATTTGATGATAGGAACACTCAGAGAACACTAGAAAATTCTTGCAAATTAAAATTTTAAAAGAAGAATTAGAAGATAAAAACCAAAGAAATCTCCCAAAAAAGTTGAACAAAAGCCAGAGATTGAACACAGAATCAATCCAGGAGGTCTAAAAATCTAACCAATTGTAAAATCAGAAGTACATCTAGACAAAGACCGAAGAAAATGGAAAAAGGCAGGCGAACATTACCAAATAAATAATACAAGGGGATTTTCCAGATCTAAGAATATGAATCCCTGAATTTGCACAGTCTACAGAGTATTCATCACCATGGAACAAGAAGACACCCACACCTAGACTGATGTGTGTGAAATTTCAAAACATCAAGGATCAAGGGAATCTCTTGAAAATTTCAAGACAGAGAAAAAAATGTCACTACAGAGAAAAACCAGACTGATAGCAGACTTTCTCCACCAGCAACTCTGACTTCTAGAAGACCATGAGGCAATGATTTCAAAGTTCTTAGTGAAAAGTACTTTCAATCCAGGACACTATACCTAGCTAAAATCATCAATCAAAACACAGGTATTTTTAAACATGTAAGAACTTTTAATGTTTACTTTTCATTTTATTTTCTTATGGGAAGATTATTTACAGGTATATTCCACCAATATGAGAAATAAGGAAAACAATGTGGGGTCCAGGAAACAGTAGAACCAGTATCGTGGCCAAAGGAAGTTCCAGCATGGCATCTGAGCAGCAGGCCAAGAGACTAACCTGTTCAGATTGAAACAGGAAGACAGAGAGGCCAAAGTATAAGAAATCTGGAGAAAACAGGTCTTCACAGAATAGAAATAGGATGAAGAGTTTCAGAAAAATAAAACAGAAGACCAAGGCAAAGAATACAACAAGCAAGGTTATTTGGAAACTCCAGGAAAAAATGAAAATCTAGACAAGAAGAAAAAGGTTGTAAACATATTACTTGACCATGTAGTGGAAGAACAACTATAATAGCCATTGCTGTCAATGTTTAGAATTAATCTATAAAAAGGGTACTTAAGGTAACAGAACAAATTGTCTCTGTTAACAACATTGACAATGTAAAAGAAAATTGAGACTTGAGCATAAAGAAAACAGAGGAAGGGGGAAGCAAAAAAATCCGTATTTTCCAAATAAAAAGTCAAAATATATAATCTGTTCTGTTTCACATTTCTGTCAAGTGAAGCTCACCTTACAGTATTGGTAAACAAGGGAATGATGTTAGTATAACAAAGTAACTTTTTTTCAGATGCAATTTTTCCCGGATTCCTAATTTCATGGCTTGCACCATGAAAAAAAATCAGCTGAATACAAGGTGTACAAACACAGCTCAACACTGCAAGCCACAGAGGTTCTAGCATGCTACACAAAATCCATATATCCCAAGTTCCTCCTCTTCCGTCTCACTGGTTATGAACCTCGGAAGTGCTGATTATATGAGTGGGGATCCCTCCCAAGAAAAATGGAACTGATTTATAAAAAATTGTATTTAAAAAAAAAGGTTGTTCAGGGCACCAGTCACCTATATGCCACAACTTGGGACATTTCTTCTACAAATCGTGATGTCACCTTCTCAAAACTTCCAGATGAAAACCGGTGGGTTCCTAGAACATTTACCTAGCAGCGAAAGCTTGTACTACAATGGACCCACCCTCCAAAAGGCGATTCGGGCTTCTGGGGACCCTCTCAGATATTGCCCATATGCTCATCACCTTATGTCCATAACCATCTTAACTCTTTAACTTCTTCCATCAAGCTACTTTCAGGTATTTTTGTTTTACAGATACAAGTTTCTTGACTAGGAATTTAACGTGTCTTTAGTTATGTTAGTATTTATACAAAGATTATCATTTATGTTGGTGCCTTATTAGAAAGTCAACGTAAATGACTAAATTTGATAAAGCAAGGAATGGTGGTATATGATTTAGAAATACGCAAGTAACAATCAGAAAAATCAAAAACAGAAGTGGTTTAGAAAGGTAAAACTAGTTTCTCATCCAGTGCTGGTGAATTATTTTGTTCTTTTCTTTCTGTATTTCTACACTTTCCCAGTTTACTGTAATAAGTATATATTCTTCCCTGAAATGATAATACCGAATAATGAACAGTCAGAAGCTGAAGGAACTATGTTCATTGATAACTGGATTTCCTTTATTAAGAAAACACACAGTTTATATGGTTTGAAGGACTGTAAAAGATTTAGAAAATTTTTTGAAGGCAAAAGCTCTAATCCTGAATGTCACTGCTACACAAAGTAACTACTATGGTTAATGGTAACTTTGATTTTTTTTTAAAAAAATCTTTTCTGGCAAAAAGTAGCCAAAATAATTGTATTACTGAATACATCAAAGATGAGAACAGAAAGACCTTGCTATTTCCTGTCACGTGTATCACTCAAATTCCTCCACTCATTCCTGAATGATCATAGGCAACAGGACTACCAATTTCAAGTCCTCCACTTCAGAATAAATATCTTTCCAATTAGAACAAAATGGACTTGAGATTTATGAGCCTGGCCCTACCCACTGATCTAAAGAAACTAAACTGGACACCAAAATGAGAAAAGTTACCAAGTTCACAAACCAAAAGAGGGAAAGGACCTTTCTGGTTTGGGCAATCTGTTGCCCTTTTGTCATATATAAGAAATAACCTTTAATTACTATATACTGTACTGTATAACACTATATATACACTATGTATCTCCAACAAAGACAAATCAATACCTAGAAAACAGACTGGCACCTGGGAAAATATGCCAAAGCTTACAATGGATAAAATTTTCTTTCTGGTACATGAAGTTTTAGAGATAGAGAGAAAGAAGAGTTTAGAAAAGGTAACAGAGATTTGGATGTATCTCCAATTTTCTTCTGGAAAATAATTTTTTTTTTTTTTTTT